TCAATCAATCAATCAATCAATCAATCAATTAATCAATAATCAATCAATCAATCAATCAATCAATCAATCAATCAATAATAGAGGCTATTCAGAAATGGCTTACCATCCCCTCCTTCTGGAGGTGCCCCGGGACTGTGCAGCTGGCCCAAGGCCACAAAGGCTGGCCATATTCAAAGGAGACACAATGGCTAAAGAATTGATAACTAATCTAATAACAGCAGCTAGATTGATTATTGCCAGGCAATGGAAATTAAAGATTGAATTACAAATTGAAGAATGGTATAAAGAAATATGGAATATAGCAATAAATGATAAATTAACTTGTAATTTAAAGATTAAGAAAGGAGAGTTGAAAAAGAACAATTTTTATGTAATATGGGGCAAATTTTTGGAATATGTGCTAATAAGGGGGAAAGGGAAAGCTCCAAATCAAGAATCTATGCGGTTCTGGAGAAGAGGACAATAGAAGAAAGAAGAAAGAAGAAAGAAGAAAGAAGAAGAAGAAGAAGAAGAAGAAGAAGAAGAAGAAGAAGAAGAAGAAGAAGAAGAAGAAGAAGAAGAAGAAGAAGAAGAATATGGCAAGAGGTCCCGTACATGGTGGTGGGGAACACAGTTATTGTATTTGAGTTTATATGTTTTGTGTATATGATTCTGTTTTTGTTATAGTTTTAGAAATTAAAAAAAATTATATTAAAAAAAAAACAAAGGAGACACAGTGGCGAATCAAGCTCTCAACCTCTGATTCCGCAGTCAGGTACCTAAACTACTGAACCATCCAGCCAGCTAATCAGAGGTAAGATAGCATTTAAAGGTATTTAAACTTTAAATACCCTGCACAGAACTGAGCAGAAGGTTACAGGCTCAAAGGTTTTTGTATTGAACTAAACAGACAGGAAGTCGTTGCTCTGGAGTTTCCTCCTGACTGGGCATGCAGAGAACCCAGCTTTGTTTTGTATGGCTAGTGGGGAAAATGTCCAAATATGTACGAAATTAGAGCTGGCCTTACCCACTGTGTTGTGGCTCTTCCTACTCTGCTGTTAGCCCAGCTTCATGCATTTTGCCTGCCCGTTGCTGGAATGTGTTGAGAGGTCCTTCCCAGATCAGGATTTGTCTCCTGGATTCTCTGCCCTTTCCATAAATAATGATACATGCCCAACGTGTACCAGAATCATATCAAATTGGCTGCGTGGGAGCTTCAGATTCCTTGAAGAGCTCACCACCCACAGGCTGACAGCCCAGACAGACACCAATTGTCAGAGCAGAGGGTGGATGGTAGTGGAAGGATATCCAACCGCTAATTATCACGCAAATCAAATTAGCAAGCATAATGGGGAACCACACCTCACAGAAGGCTTTGCATGAAAACAATCCACATTTATTCCAAAATTTTAAAAAAGGAGATTTAAATTATTAATGGCTGGGAGTAGGGTAAGGAAAAAAAAAGGAGAGATAGGAAATACGTAGATAAGATACAGGCGTGGGCTTAGAACAGACTTGCTCCAAAGCTGCATAGGAGAAAAGACCAAAAAAAAAAGGAACCTCATAAACACTAGGATACAGTATTTGCATACATTACTCTCCCTTATTGCCAGGAACAAATAGCAGTCCCTGAAGCTGTACCTCCATTTCCTCTTGCTGAACAGAATCACTATTACTTTCACACCTCTAACACCACCAACAGTTATATGTTGGACTGATTTACTACTACATATACTGAAGGCAGCTCAGTTTTAAAAGTACGTAGGATAACAGTATGAGAGATGGAAATCTACAAGACTACATTCTCCAGAGGCCCGTGGTATGTGGTTATATATAAAAAAAAACTGCCTTGAACATGATGCCTTTCAAAATACGGCAGCTTACAAATCAATTAACAGAGCGTGGAAAACTACACATTCTAAAATCCTGAAGCCAGCATGGTTACTGTTCAGAATATCCAATGCTTGCTCTCCCCCCGTGCATATACTCTGTGTACTCTACTATACAAAAGCATTCTCTTACACACCACCAAGAGACATACAGTAGAAGCGCACAACGAATAACTAATGTGTCAGCAGGGTAAAATACATATATATATGAATATGCATTGCCTACACATAGACTAAACAACACAAGAGCACTTATGCAGATGTGTCCCCTCCACTCCAGACTTAAGTCTACGCAGCGCACAACAAAAAAAGAACTCCATTGAAATCTCTACAAAGGTCGAGC